TTCTTGTAATAGTAATATCTACTTGTTAGTATTTATATACATTGAATTAATGTTATTGGACGGCTAGTTATGTATATGTTTTTGAATTGGGTTACGTTAATTTGTAAAAGTTACGAATGAAATGTCATTAGTTGTATTTATGTAGTGTTGCTGAAAATATTAAAAAATTTAATTATAGTACGGAATCGAAAGGAATCGAACCGACCCGAACCGAATCGAACGGAACCGAACCCCGAATGGTTTCATAATTATATTTGGACCCGACGGGTCTATTTATTAAATTCCCGAAAGTTTTGGATCAGTTCGGATCTCTTCAGAACCGAACCGAACCGAATCGACCCACGGACAGCTCTACCAACTGCAACGAAACGGTGGAGGTTGGTGGTGAGGTGAGTCCTCCACTCCACCCCAACCCCCTAATTAATTTCCAAATGTCAGAGGATCAAAAGTCGTGTGTGTGTGGAAAGGGGGACAAAAAACGTAAGTTTGTCACCAGGATAGACAAAATTGCATTGAAAGTTTACGCGATTTAGATATGCTGCGTCGCAATGGGCGGATAGATGCGTTCAAATTTATTGTTGTTTGCTAATTTATGTTACTTCTCCTTTTGTTCACACACAATTCAATCTAGTAATTATCCTTAAGCTCCCATTTTTGGTTAATTTTGTAGAGATTTGAACGTAAATAAATTGATGGTGCTAAAGATGTGCCGATCTAGTGGGACATTCGTGTATAGCTATTAATTTCTATTCCAACAACCTTACTGTAAAAAAGTTGAGAAAAAATTACACGACCCATTATCAAAACTCTTAAGTTGATCCTCAATGATGGAAGTTGTTTAAAAACCTATGAATTTAACGTATCTTTTTAAATGTAGTTTTAGTCCATGTTTGATAACTATTATTTTTCAAAAAAATTGATTTTTGAGAAGTGTTTTTTAGGATAATATATAGTTGAAAAGTAGGGAACGTTTTGAGTTTACGAACAAAATATTTTATTGTGTGAATGTGATTGAAAATGAGTATGTAAAAAAAAAAGTTTCCAAACAATGGTTGTCAAACATGGGCTAGGTAAGGTTTTGTGACAATCTAAAGAAAATTTGGATGATTGTACAATTGCAATGAACATTGATGATCAATTTTCTCGTGCTCAAAGGGTTGAAACTACTCGAATGGTACATTGAGGAATCGATTGTCCAATATTTCATAAAACTAATTAATAGGGAGATCAAAAAATACAGATGACAAATTTGTCACGTACTATTTATCAAAATGGATCCCAAACATGCAGATCATATTCGATGCCCATTATTTCATTAAAATGTGTTTTGTAATAGTGAATTATTAAAGAATTTGTGGTTAAAAATAAGAAAAAAAAATTAAATTATTTTCTTTTGAGAAGTGTGAAGGAAAATGATTTTTAAAATAATGGAAATCAAACTAGCCTTCACGCATATGTATATTAAAGTACATATGTAAGTAAAAAAGAGTAATTTATAGAATTATGGTTGGTAGTATTAAGATTTGGGGGTCCATCTTAAAATGTCAACCTTGTTAAGAGGAGTANCCTAACTCCACCTAATAAAACCGGCTTATTAGGGGAGGATTACCCTCACCTTATAAAGTGGATCATTTATATTTTTCCAAGCAATGTGGGATTATAATACGCCCCCTCACGCACAGCGTGGACCATGCCAAACAACTGTGAACAAATCGATATTGGGTGGCACCCAACATTGCATAATTGGGCCTGGCTCTGATACCATGTCAAGATTTGGGGGTCCATCTTAAAAGGTCAACCTTATTAAGAGGAGTAGCCCAAGATCTTTATTAATTGGTCTGTGTTTACATCATTATTCGATGTGGGATTTATATCCCTTAACAGGTAGCACAATATTGTTCGCATCTATCTTGTCTAGTTATAACTTATTTTGTTTTCATTATAATTATGTAATTTTGTAATATATTAAAGTCAAATTTAAACATTAATTTTAAATATATGTTTAAAGATACTACCTACTTATTATCTACACATTTCGTGATAATCATTACTCTTTTTCATTACATTTTTTTCCAAACAACGTTTCTATATAATTTATAAATTGATTTATAAATTCAATCAAATTCAAAAAAATTATTTCCAATTACATATTCATAATTAGTATTCATTATTATTCACACGTTTTATGGAACACATTAATAATTAGCTCTTGCTTGGAATTTATTTTTTCGAACTAACTTTTTTCTCACACTCATTTCTCACTATACATTTTAAAAGGAATGCTTGTTACATTGTTAACCTAAAAAACGAAAATTATTTTTTCATACCAGCAGTTTTCATATCAAAATCTTGTCCCCTTTGGGGTTTTGTGGGCCAATTTTGGGTGAGCTTTCCATTTGAATGAAGAAAGAAATTTTTGGTATTGTTTTGGCTGGAAAAAAACTTTCGTGTGTTGAATCTGAACTTTATTAAGAGTTTTGTTACTTGTACATCGGAATTGACACTCCGACGTACAAGCCTGTCACAATAGGGGGGCCGCGTTTTTTTTTATTGGATGTGAGCCCCCTATTGTGAGAGGGTTGTGCACTGGGGTGTCAATCACAGTGTACAAGTAGCAAAATATTAAGATTGCATCGCAGTAAATACGTATGTCTCAATGTATATGTTTAGCTTTGAACGTCCCTATAAAAAAGAACAATTGACTATTGACATGCAATAATTGATCAAATTACGAAGAACCACGTTCGTATATTGGACACGATTAAATGTGAAATATGTGATAGATTTTGTATGTTGCTTATATAGTGGTGGTCATTTCAGTATAGCAACATGCTCTTAAGTATCCAAATAGACCTCTTTCTAAATATCGTGTAGCATCAAGTAACCGTATATCAACACTAATACTCAGAACTATACGACATCTATTAAACTTATCGACTCAATATCGTGTCATTTAAACCTTATATATGATGATTATCACATAATATTGTCAAAATGGATCAGATCAATTAGTTTGTTTGTGAAGAAGGCGAATTGATTGAAGCTAATCCCTTATTTGTATAAAATTTGAAAAATAAAAATCATTTAAAACAAGTCAAGAACGGGTTGATTCACCTCTCGATCATTTAACCCTTGACTCTTCATGTTTTATGGGTAGATGGCAATTGTTATTTTTAACTTCTAATTACACCAAAAAAAAAAAAAGTTAGTTTAAGAATTAAAGTTCAAAACTTAATGCCACAAATTATTTTATTTATTGTTAAAAAAATCCGATTAAAATTAAAGTCAAATCCAGGGTGTGTTTGAGCCACATTATTTTGGAAGAATGTATTTTGAAATAATAGATTGATTGAGAATGTGTGGTTGAAAAATAAGGAATATTTATTGATGTGATGGAAAATATTACTTTAATGAAAAATGTGTAATTGAAAATGAGTAGAAGAATGATAATGAAAATTTTAAAGTAACTCAAACAGGGGCTCAACAATTGATTTTAATCACACATTTCATTTAATACAATTTACAATTTTTATCAAAATCTAGGAGGTGTTTGGTGGTGATTAAAATTAGATTTTTAGTAGATTTTGATAGAAATTTTTGAATGTGTGGTTGAAAAGTTGTGAAACTCATTAAATATGTGATTAATATTGATTGTTTGATTTTGATTTAGATTAAAATTTGATTTTAATTTATACCAAACAAGTTACTAATAAATATCTTATTTTAATCTCTAGTAAGGGGGTTAAATCTGTCCCATTTTTCCACATCTTAGCAAATATGGCGGGAAAACTTGTAACCCTCTGCAATTGGCGGGAAATGTACACCTCTACTTACACTATATATACAATTACTCAACACTTGGCGCGGCAAACCCTGCCATCAATATATCCCCATTTCTAAGAACCCTAGCGCTAGAGCGAAGTAGTGAAAATCAACAATGGTGGGGCTGCCGTACGATTGTCTATCAAACCCACTGGGAGCCGTACGATTGACGTTTGAGAAGGCAGTGGCTTCGGGATCTGACCCGGCCTCTTTTGACGGCAAGGATTGGGGCGCCTCCGATCTCTTCCATGACTTTCTTTTCGATAACGGTGGCCTCTCTCAGGTTTATTTTCTGCTTACAATTTCTTTTCAATATTAACTGATCGATTATGTAACTTGATAGAGTTATGATTTAGAAACAATTTATGTAATTTCGTTTTCCCTTATGTAGCTCGGAATCTGGTTATTAACCAAGATTAAGCTGGCTGATCGATAATTACACAAGCGTTTATAACTACTGAACTGGAATGGGGAAAGTGCTTGAAAAGTCGATTGTCTATTAATGAATGTACAGACGTTTAAGCATAACGTACAACAATAATTTGTATTATATTATGCAGCGTAGGTTGTACCTTTTTTTCTGACAAGATTGCTCCAATTTATGGACATTGGCTGTTAGATTTGTGCATTAGGTATACTATTTGCCACAAGTGATTTTATTTTACATATTGCGGATTTGACTAGTTTAAAAATGTGACTTAATCAATATGGCTTCAATTAATTTGGTGTGTTTGTATAGTTTTTTCTGCTTTACTGGGTCGATCACGTTAGAATTCATTTTATCAGAATGAAATATCTGATCTTTATTGTATGATTTGATGATAATTAGGTGCCGATGCTTAATCCCTCAACTTTAAAATGGGTTCAGCCTAATACTTTGGTTCGGTTCCGTGGTATGATCCAAGACATGCTGGGTAATGAATTTTATGTTGGTGCTCACAAGGTATTAGGTCTCCTTCCACTCTTGCATAGCTGCCTTTTGAAAAATTATTTTTATATTTCTCATTGTTTTGGGATATAAGAACTGGAGATGGTACTTGGCCTTATCTTTCTCTTTCTTTGATACAGGATGGGGATACTTGGAGAACCAATAAATTCACAGACACCGCTCAATTCCCCATGGCTCCTTCATCTGATATGCGGATATGGGAGCGTCGTTTGCTTTATTGTGTTCCTGTGAGTTATCCCATATAGAGAGTTTCCATTTTTACTCGATTCCACCAACGATGTTCTATCTCATGGTTGACAGTTTTTAAGCTTGACGGTTTATTTAAATCTTACGCAATGTGATTGCCTTCCTTTTGTTATAGGTCCCGGGACAGAATTCATGGACCGACTTTTCTCCTGAAGCTGTGAAAAATCCATATACCAACTCTTTATCTCCACAAAGGGAGAAACGGCAGAGGGAGGATGATGCAACTATTACTGATGTAGACATGCAAGTATGTCCCCCTCTCTACCTAGTTGTCTCAATGTACTTGTATTTTTATAATAATCTGCTGACAAGGGCACTGGAATTTACCTGGATGAAATACAAGGACCCTAATTCTATCCATTCGGTCTGCTCCTCATCTATACTGAGGAATGGAACTATAGAGCTTTGCGATATAACCTAGTACAAATGTCACGTTGCTGATATGTTCTTGCATGTCAGATAATATACATGTTTCAAATGCAGTCTCTACTTTGTTTTCCTGCTATGGTTGCACTTTCAGCGTATATTTAGTTGGAGTCGCACATTTTAAAATTTGACAAATCTCATATAATGACAGGATTCGTGTCATGAGCTTCAGGCTTCTCCAAGTGCTAAAAAAATGGTAAATAGAAAAGCTATCTATTGGCCTTTCTGGATCATTCTTCGATTTATGTATCTGTAATAAATTCCTCCACAGCTTCGTGATGCAGTAAACTGCCCAAAGTTTCAGTTTTCAGTATGACGTGTCTAACGGATTCAACTTTTGTCTCTTAGAGGGAGGATGAAATGGAGTTTCAGCTTTTGAATTCACAGAAGACTGCAACTGAGGAAACTTCTTCAAATGCAAGTTTGGTGCTTGACGCTGAAAGAAAGTCATTTCCCTGTCTAGTGAAGGTGAATTCAGTTTCCAGTTAAAGTTGCATAAAACAATATGTACATTAAATATTATCTGACACCAAACCGTTTTGATCTTGAACTTTGAATGCTGTAGATATATGATACTCCAGAGACCGACTTGAAGCTGAATGATGTTTTTGAATTTGTTGGCATCTTCACTTTTGATCCAGATCTTACTGCAGAAAAAGATGATAGTGATGAATTAGCGCATGAGTTTGGTGAAGATGTATTAGTTCACATGCCTCCTAGCAAGGTCTTTATTTATATCCAGATGTTATTTTTTTCTTGTCCCGATTAATTTTTCTAGCATGAAAATCTATATATATTTTATTTGGAGTTTTACAATCTATAATATGATGTCAACGTGTTATTGAATTTAAAGAATTGTAGACTCACTGCAATAACTTAACCTCTCGGTTTCTTAGCTTCACTTTTAGATTAGACAATCTAATATCTATTGCTTGAACTTCTGAGATATATAATCAGATTTTGCTGTTTAATCAGTGATGTCTCTTTGGCTAATTGCATTCATTCTGATCCTTTGGAATTTTGTATCTATGAAACCAAAATGATTACGATATTTTTGGCCAAAGCCAGCATCAGTAGACCAATGGTTACTTAGTTGTGACTCGTAATTTTTAACAGTTCCAGACGATAACATGAAAGTTGGGATCTTTTGTAAGACCAGCATTGGTTAGTGATTATTGATTGTAATCTTAGGATCCGTATCAGGATTCTAACAACAATAAATATAACACCCTGATTCCCAAAGAGTTTTTTATGCTTCTGGAGTTGTGGTGCTGCTACACTTCGGACTTTCTGTAACTAAATTAATAGTGTGTGATTTCTTTTTTTATGGAGAAAGTTCTCTCCAGCCTGTAAAGAATAGAGAATAACATGATAATCTGCTTTATTTCAGGTACCTCGGCTTCACTGTCTTGTACACAGGAAGCTTGCAATTAATGATTTTCTTTCAGTTTGTCCAACATTTGAGGTAAGCTCTATTTACTTGAACTTGATCTATGCCTCTGTCAGTTGATCTGCTTAATAGTCAACCCTCAGCTAATTTCCCTTTGTCTGCATATTTTGATAGCCCTTTTGAGAGCTAATTTTCTTGTTATGATCACAGTTAAAATCTAATGCAGTAAAAGAACTAAGGGAAGCTCTGCTTGGACATCTTACTGCTGTTCTTGGAAATGACAGGGTGGCAGCTCAATACATGTTATTGCACCTATTATCCAGGGTAAGTATACCTATCTGTTCCTCTAGTTGCACAACTAAGCAACTGTTATCTGTACCAAGCATTGTACAAGATTTTGGTTTTCTTAAAATGTGATTTTAATGCGGATGTTTGCTTCAGAAGTTGAAGACTTCTACTCCCTCCGGATATTGAAACTTTTTTCTGAACAAATGACTACATCACTGTGCAGGTGCATGCTAGGGTGGATACAATTGCTGTTGGGAAGCTGTCACTAAATCTTACTTGCTTTAACAAGGAGAGCACATCTGTTTTTGGCAATCGTCTTAAACTTGCAATAGAGGACCTTCTACCTTTTACCCATTATTTGCCTCTCACGATAGAACGTCTCAATACCGTTTCACTTTCCCCAAAAAAGGATTACAATACAAACAGGTTAATACAAATTTTAGTTTTGCAACTACAAAATTATTCTCTTTGTTTGGTTATTTTTTGGCCCAACATTGTAATATTGATGACATTTCATGTCAATTTACACGATCCATTCTGCAGGCTGGTATCTGGCGTTCTGCAGCTAGCCGAGGGTTCTCACTTAACTATGGATGAGACTGAATTGCAAGCTGGGACCCTCAACTCAATTGGCGTTGAAAATGCAAGAGTGTTAAAAAGCTTGATGGAGTCGCAAAAGGTACATTTTATAAAAGCAGTACGAGGATAACCTCATTATTTTTATTTTTTTTTGGGACCTGGCACCATCTGGTCCTCCGGACGATTATTCCTCGAGTTTCCAAAATTAGTGCAAAGAAGTGCCCCAAATTTTACTCGGATATGATCTGGATAAAAAGTTATTCATAATCTGGTGCTTGATGGATTGGAATTCAGGGGATCTAATGTCTGTAATCCGTAAACATGCATGTTTCTGATTGTTTCTTCCACCCTTTTTTCCTTTTCTTAGGTGGAATATGACTTTAAATACTATAAAATGGAGATGGCTGCAGATGTTCAACTGTTGATCCTTTCTGATGGGAAATCTAACCTTCTGCCTGCTGATCTAGTTCTCCCTTTTCGACCATCCTCAGTAGATTCACCTTCAGCAGTGGACGCAGATACGCTGAAAACTTGGAGATGGTACTTGGCTACCATGCAACCACTTCCTCATTCTATTGAGCCAGATATGCAGAAGGTGTGAATTAAGCTTGCTCCTTGGTTTCGTTACTCAACTAAAAGCGCACCTTCATATGGAAGGAGGGCTTGTCTTATTTTCATCAGATAATCAGATTTTCTGCTGTATTTCATACATAATACTTATTCCAGAAGAAGTCACGTCAACGTTAATGTTCTGACATGTTGCAGGTGGTAGAAGATGATTTAGTAGCGGCAAGGCAAGCTGACCGAAGCTTAGGCAGTCAAGATCTTAGCAGGTTTGAAGACCTGAATTTTGGTAGTCTGGTTTCCAAATTCATTCACTAACTTATAAAATCTTGCAGATGGCTGACAATGGGCCGCCTACTATCGACCAGTTTTGGTGAAACCTCTTTGACAATGGAACATTGGCAAATGGTGAAGGAACTTGAGCGACTCAGAAGGGAGAGACTTCAGGGAAGTATGTAAAGAAAATCATAAGGAAACTATGTAAATTCTTCTTGGAATTGGGACGATAATATTACATTTGCGTGTTATTCATTTAACTTATAATATATTTGAAAAGCACTAAGTTGCTTTTGTATCATTTGAAAAAAATTAATCTCATGAAAATGAACAATATAATAGTAAAAAAATAAAAATGAACAAGATTGCTAAATTGGAATAAATAAGATGATTTGTATGACAATGACAATAGCATTATCCGTTGGCTGCTAAGTTACTCTTTATTAGAGCAAAAAGAGTAGGAGATATGATTTTATTCTGCTACACTGGGCCACCAGAATATTCTAACAAGAATTTATTGTGGGAAGTACGCTTTATTAATGCTGAAGTACATAACATTTTCTTTAGATCACCTGCTCGTTGAATTTGAAAAATATAAATATCACCGCTTAGCTTCCAACTCCACAAAACACTTCATTGCTTGCCGGATCTACATCTGAGCATGAAAAGTGCACAAATAGAATTTTTCAACACAGCGAAGTAACTGTGAAGACAAGGGTAAATGCAAAACAAGCATAACTAGCTACACCTAGACCATGAGATCTCGTATTTTCCACGAGTTGCTTTTGTAGCGACATTCAATCATTATTTGTGTATTGGATATAATTTTCCCTTGTAGTAAGTCTAGTAGACATTAAACTAATGCATGTCTTAACTCCTAAAGCATGAAAGAAAAAAAAAAAAAAATCCTAAAATCTTGTATTAAAAGGGAAAAAAAAAGAAAAGAAAAGCTAAAGTCATGTTTGTTATATATTAAACATGCAAAAACTGTAGTCATCTCATTCCCTGTTGTACTATGCTTTTCAATCGGACTGGTTAAAAAAGAAAACACAATATTGGTTTCATGGAAGGAGCCTAGAGCGATAATGCATTCAAATGTCTTAAATGTCTTCAAATTCTGAAAGCAATCAAAAATAGTGAACGATGCTGCACCATCAAGAATAAAAATTTTGTGCAACATGAGGTTAATAAATACCCTACTTTAGACTCCATTGCAACCTTAATTGTGTTTTAAGATTTTAGACTCATACCAGTGTTCTCAAGTCCCACGAAGGGCGCGGACACGATCTTGAATAAGTTTTCTTTCCCAGCCTGCTACATCCTCAAAAGCGTATTCTGATAAACTCTCAAAAGGTTTCTTCCCGGGGTCATTTTTAGCCAAATCATAAGTGGCTCCACAAATCGCTGTCTTGTTAGGACCACAGGGTCTCTTTGAAGTGAGTGTATCATATGCCGTGTTAAGCTGCTAAGAAGGCACACGGACAAGTATTTCAGAGAGCACATATTTTCTTTTGAGAGCACAGATGAGTTGCAAAGAGTTTAAGGTCTGTAGCTAAATCCCATTGCTTCTTAATAATTGCAGCTCACGATATTATTTTGAATGATTTCAACAATGAAACAAAAAACGAGCACTTACGTCCATATTGCAGAACCAGAACATGTAAGCGATTGCAACAGCTGGTGCCCTTCCTAATCCAGCAGTACAATGAACATATGCTCGTCCATTGCCTTCTGATATTGCCCATTCAAGTGAGGAAACAGCTTTCGGTAATCCACTTCTTAAGGAATCTGGATCAAAATCTCTTGCCTGTAAATAGGAAAGATAATAAATACAAACTTATAAAACCACAATAAATTATTGATAGAACATGAGAAAAGAACAGTTGTTGAAAGAAAAAGCTCCTAAAGATATGGAAGCTAGGATCTAACAAACTTTTCTCTGTTTGTCAGCATATATTGACAATATTTGGCTGAATGACCTCTTCCTGAGGGTTTTTTTCCAAATTATGGCTAATTTCTAGCAATTACTGCTATTGTGTTAGTCTATCTAAGATAAGAACAATTACCCCGTATACACTAAACCCCTATTTGATGCCCATTAAAAAATTTTTTGAAGAATGGTAGACAAACCTGTCGTTAACATATATATATATATATGATATTCATAAATATCTAATTTTATACGTAAGCATTTTCATTTGCACATTTTTACAAAAAAAAACCCACATGGCATCTTGGATAGGAAGGACACGATAGCAATGACAATATTAAGGAAGAAAAAAGAATCAAAAGTCTTGTTTATTCTGCATTCTGAACATACACGGAGCAGAATAGCGGGCGACTAAAAACTTTGTGTAATATCCACTAGAAAGGCGTACGAGGATATTGTGGGTGGAATTACATGCTATTTTTGCATTTTCTTTTACATATACAGATGACTAAGGTATGCATATTCAAAAGAAATGCAAAATCCAAGTTAGTTTTTTGTAATTTGGAAAGAGTTGATAAAATATCAATGCATATCATAGGGAGAAATTGAACTAAAATGCTTGGTGTAACACACTTTAAAAGACATTGCAACAAATGGAGATTATCTTACAGGCCTTCTCATGTGACGGATTCCGAGTTCCTTGCATCGTTCTATTATAGAAGGTAGGTCGATTCCCCAATATTCTACGTCTCCGTCCTGCTGCAAGTTGAGAATATAACTGACGTTCTGGTCCTCTTTCAGATGATTTATGTCTTCAACTTTCTGAGGTTGGGATCCAACAATCAGATTTTCAGTTATCAAAGTATAGTTCATTCCTGAAGCAGAGGAATATTCTTTATCAGATTACTTATCACGACCATGTGACCTTTAAATGAGGAATCTCAAAGATGCTGAACGAATTATCATTTTTCCGGAGTTTCAAATCAATAAAGGATATAGAATTGATGACTAAACAGTGGCGAACATATTCTTAAATGCAGAAAGTTCCCAGAATCGTCTGTCTTATCTCTAATCTAAAAGGGCGTCAAAATTAAATTTAATCCGACAACTACAAAAAGTTCAATCAAGGAATATTTGAACATCAGAAGAAAACTAACCGAGATCGTGATGATACTCATATGGGTTCCTCATCGTTCTCTTCATTGCTACGTTATAATCTTCCATTTTCCTGCTGGTTGTGATCCCTTTATTTGCACTCTCGGGAAGTTTGCAAGAAATTTGTGTGAATTTGAAGGAATTGGTTGAGGCCCAGATGGGATTGCCTGCAGATATTGCGTTCTTCGTGCTTGTTGAAGAGAATCGCGAAACAGTGGGATGCGAAGAGAAGTACAAGCAGCTGCAGCTGTATCCAACGCCCACCATGGTTTTCCTCTCACGCGCATTTTTGTGGCCGCGGGTTCTTATTTATACTTTGAGTATTTGACTAAAATGCCCTCTCATAAGTCGGAAGAATAATATCATCTAGCGAGAGGTGCTCCAACTCCATTTTAGATGATCATATTTGATAGATTCAATTAAATAAATTGTATGGCATTGTTTATAGGTAAATCAACTATTTAATATAACCTCCTAACTTGGATGGTCGACTGAGTTTGAACAAAAGGCATTTAGCGTGTGTTTGAGTCACATTATTTTGAAAGAATGCATTTTGGAATAGTAGATTGATTGAGAATATATGGTTGAAAAAGAAGGAAAAATTATTAATGTGATAAAAAATATTATTTTATTGAAAAATGTGTGATTGAAAATAAGTAGAAAAATGAGAATAAAATTTTTAATGTGGCTCAAATATGAGCTTAAAGTTGTTTACTAGCATATATCGATTGGACAACGAATGATTTGAACAACTGGGCATAATAACTATCTTGCTCGAATATTGGTCGATTTGTTTGTAAAACTCCAAAATTTTACAGAATATGATACACAACATGTATGAGAATTTAAGAAGTATGAGGTCTAATATGATATTTTTAGAAAGTTCAAGGACCTAAGTGCAAATTAACAAAATTATTCAATCATTTGAGAAGATATTATTAGGCTGCAAATAATATCAAGATGTTGTTACTTGTGAGAAGTCGAGTTTTGGTTAATTTAGGGTCCGTTTGATTGCTCCTTGAAAAATTAGGTGAAAAGAAAATGAATTCAGGGAAAATATTTGCCTAGAACTTGTTTTTTCGGGAAATTTCAATTAGTTGCATTTGATTGGTATAATTTTCCACTTAGAAAATGTTGAGATTTTCTATCGTTTGGTGTTTGATTGTCTTTGTTTTCTATGGAAAATTATGATTTTTCCATTTTTAACTGTTTGATAGACTTTGTTTTTCATGGAAATTTTTTTATATGCATAATAAAAAATGATTCATTAATTTACATTTATTTTTTCAACACAATTTTATTTCCTAAAAAAAATTAATAAAAGTATGATAACTAATGATTCATACTATCAAAAACTGAACTGTCTCACAAATATGAAATAATTGCTACAAATAAATACAGCGGGGAAGAAAATTTTGGTTACAAAACAAAGATTGTATTAACAAGTATTGATTGAACTTTTACAGTATAGAATTGCTTCATTGATAGAGCTCTCAACGTCTGCGCAAACATTACAAAAATTCTCCATGTTTATAGGCAAACACCAAGACAATGCTAAGTCCATCAATTTAAAACATACACATTACACACATTAGCTGAGCTGCAAAATCCACCAACAAAAGCCAACCACTTTCTACAAATACCTCCAATTCTAGGGAGACTATACCAAAAACTATCAATCAAATATTTACAAAACACTGTACCCTAGTTTGTACGTGTGTGCATTACAAAAAAAAATTCAAAAGACCACGTACGTGGATGAAGTTTTATAAATACATAAGCTTCATACATACTCACACCGTAAAATTCGTGCAATCTACGGTAGTGGAGGTGGATCACGACCAAACTTGTCAAAAACCAAAGCACACATGTATTTCTCGCTCGTTAGGTTCATAAATAGTTAAATACCTTAGCCAAACCATCGTCGGATCGAAAGGCTTTCATGACTTCCATTACGTCCTTCATGTCTAGGTTCATTGCCTCCAACTTCTCTACAATCAATTGCCAGTTCACATCATTCTGTTTATCTAGCGTAGCTTGCATTTCCATAGCTTGAGCAATTTTTGTAGATGACTCGGCAATCCTTGATAGGGTGATATTACTCTCATCCACCGGTTGTGCACGGCGACACTTGTCTTTGTTGTTTCCCTACATTAAAGAGATAACAACTTATTTGAAGTTTATACATAAATACAATCAAAGATTTGTACTATAAAATACATTACATACCATTCATTGGGGAGAAATGGTCGAAGCCAGACACTGCTCGATCTCCGGTGGCGGCCTCATTGCCATAGATAGTCTCCATGTCATCATATCTTGGACAAAGTATGGTCCTTCTCTATATATCTTGGACAAAGTTTGGTCCTCCACTTCCCAAATTCTAAAATGTTTAAGAATTAAAGTGAAAAAATAAGTATTAAATTTCCTATTTAAATTTATTTGGGCCGAATGTGTAGTTTTTGGAGGAGAGAGAATTACAATATCAATGTTGGACTCATTTTGTAACTCGTATTAAATTGTGCATTTTGGACTCGAAAAGAGAAGGTTAAGAGGAAATTTGGATAAGCTTGATTTAATTCAGAGTCGACCAAAAAAAATTATGATTAAATGATTTTTTAAGGAATTAGTTTCCTTTGGTTAGTAAGGTCTCCGCAAACTCAAAACTTTTTCTTATTTTTTAATCACACATTTTATATCAATTTACTGTTCCAAAATGCATTCTTAGCCAAATAATGGGTCTCGCTAGATAATGTTAGGATTTTCATTTATACATTTTACTTGTTGGACGCATTATTTTAATTTTTTTAGAAGAATGAAACACTCTTTTGAATTCCTTTATATATATACATTATAAATTTTAGCATTATATCCTTTAAAAATTCACTGTAGTTTATATAGATGATTTTAATTGAAAAACGATTATGAGTTATCTATCATATAAAGCTGAAATCACGTCGATTGAAAGCCTCGTAGAATTTATAAAACGAAAACCAGAAATACTATCTTTAGAAAAATATTTTTGTACCTCAAACATCATCGTTGGGACTCCAATTTTGGATATATTGTACTTTTATGAGTTTTGTGCTCTTTGATAAATGTTCATAATTTTAGGTGGATGTTTGTTAAGTCGAAATAATATTTACAACTCACCGGCAATCGCAGAAAAAACTGCACCGACTTGCAGAAATTTTCTCAAAGTTTTTCCAAAATCTTCGTCTCAATTTTTTTTTTAAAGTTTATATTATCATAATGTTAAGTTCTTCCATTACTAATCAATTAATCAAACTTTGACACCGTTCTGAATTATTTAATTGACAGTCTAATACAAATGAACTCATTTTTAGTAATTCGTCGAGTTGCTTGAATTCAAGGCGTTACATTGCCTCCCTTATGGCACCTGACTTTTACGAAATGATGTGTCTATACACATTGGATAGTTGGAATATTACGTCAGATATCTTAATTATCAATCTTTATATAAGGTAAAATCATCAGGAGAGCCACATTTTAAGAAATTTCTACTAATTAACATAATAATATATTGAACTCCATTTCCCTTTCTTTTTTAAGAATTTCTGAGTCTATTGTCATCACAGAATTTTTAACATAATAAGAAGGTCATGTGTAGAGGTGTAGATCGGGCAGCTGTGGTTTTCAGGTGGCGTTGGTCATGGACCTCTACAACCTAGACTAGCAAGGCCACTCTGTGGAGGCAAACCGGCTTTATCAATACTAAACAACCCTTAAGGAAGAAGCATTGCCCAGAAATAGGAAGACTGGTTTACTGCAGAAATCACTACAGGCAAATTTTTAAGACACCAGTTTATGTGCTTTCATGCCCCAATATTACTGTTTTACACACAGATAAAAAGGACTGACACATAGTATGGATTACCAAAGCTATAGAAACATATAAATACCAAAACAAGAGTCTAATAGCCTAAGAATCGAACTAAGAATTCAGTCACTAGATTTCCTTCTGATCCTGCTGTAGCTCACCTAGCCAAGCCCAAACAATTTCCCTAAGAGCTGGTCTTATATCCTGTCTCAACATCTTCTGATAATATACTGAGTCGCCACTCGACTTCTTCACCTCGACCAAATGAAACGACGAAGTGATTTCAAATATTTCTACATCAATGGACAAAATCCCATTTATACCCTTGTTCGTGCCCTCCAATCTCATGAACCATCCTTGATCCTTTTTCTTTACTTTCAACTTCAGATTCCTAGCAACATCCTCAAGTTTTGATATGATAGCAGAAACCGGCTTTGTAGATGTAAACTGCACCTCGTCTTTTTGGTCATTGCTCACGAACAAACCAGACAAGTCAAATCCAGTCGAGTGAGATATAATGTCAAATGCATTCAGGTTAGTCGGTTTGGCCACTTCCAGCTTCATATCTGTCGGAATATTGTTCCTGGAAGAATCAGAAATGGAACCAAAGTCAAGAGGGACCTTTTCCGGGTCTTCTGCTTTGGTCCTAGCTTGTCTGGATTTGAGACCTTTTCTGAACCAGGAGTTTTTCATAATCTTGGCTATGGAAATCCTAGTATAGGGGTTAGGATCAAGGATCCAGGATAGCAGCTTTCGTACTTCAGGTGGAAACCAATTAGGGCATTTATACTCGGCCAAGCTTATCTTCCGATACATCTCCGCGAGATTTGAGTCTTTGAATGGAAGATGACCTGCAAGCATGACAAATAAGATCACCCCACAGGACCAGATGTCAGCTTTGGATCCATCATAGCCTCTTCGGCTAATCACCTCCGGAGCGATATATGCTGGGGTGCCGCACACCGTGTGGAGTAATCCATCCTGGTGCTTGGACTCGGTGAGCGCACTCAATCCAAAATCGGATACCTTAAGATCTCCATTCTCATCCAGAAGAAGATTTTCAGGTTTCAAATCACGGTGATAAACACCCCTGCTGTGGCAAATATCAACAGCAGTGATCAGTTGTTGAAAATATTTCCGAGCACTATCTTCCTTGAGCCTTCCCTTTGCAAGGAACACTTTTTCGAGAGGTGGAAACGCATATTCCATCACAAAGTAAATCTTCGTTTTGGTAGCCATAACTTCGTATAGCTCCATCACGTTGTTGTGTTTGACCATTCCCATAACAGATATCTCTCGCTTTGTCTGATTTGTCAACCCGGCCTTCAATACTTTGTCTTTATCGATAACCTTAATGGCTACACTCTGTCCCGTTTTCAGAAGTATACCATAGTAAACTTTGGCGAAAGTTCCTTGACCTAACAACCTCCCAAGCTCGTATTTTCCCATCAATATGCTTCCCTTCTTCTCCATTTCATAAAAAAAAAAAAAAAAAACGAACGATCTCCTTCTGGCAAGATTTATATTATTTACAGGGCATGAGTCCTAGAAAAAGAACTAGATTGTACAGTCATGCTTCAACAAAACGGGAAGTTGATGAATCATGGCTTCATTACGCATCTGGTTGCAAAACTTGTTCGTACTATGATCGTATACTGGACATTATTGCTCACGGACAAGATCGACCTTGATGGAGGGCAGCCTCAGAGATGATGGTCTTAGCAATCAGCCACATCTTTCCACATTCCCACGAACATCTACATCAACAATGCTCGAGGAGAATCTGCAAGGAAAAACAACAGAGTAGTTAGTCCAGCACTTCAAATTATTGATTGTGAAGTACTGAATGCATGCTTTAATATGTTGGGCATATTCATCTAAGGAAGCTTAGATCTTTCAACAGAGTTACTAAACCATTTTTCATTCGGCTTTCCACGTCTAATTTCTATATCGAATAGACTCACTCGGGCATTTCAATCCATTGGAAGCTAATTAAGAGATTTACAGAAATATTTCTTCAAACAAAATAGAGATTTTAGAAAAATGCTTAATCGTAAATTTTCAAATAGCTGTCACATTGAAAAAGAAAGAGTTTTGGCAGGCTCACATGGAATTTCAATTTTGAAGGTCTGTCAAAAAGCACGACAGGAGAAGAAACCAAAAAAAGGCGCTTCTTTCCATACCCATAAAATAGAATGTAGTAAATGTAGAATCAATCAAGAATCCATCCTCAAAATTAATTAATACAGAATTCACAGACAACCTTTTAGTTCTCATTGATTCACCAGAAGACAGACAACTCATTGATTCATGTTTGTCTATATACACACACAAACACTCATTGATCTTCGAGAAAAACAAAAAATTATATAATTATATCGATTATCATACATACATTTGAACGTAACAAATTAAATCCCAGAACAAGAATTCAGAAGCTCAACAACAAAAAAATGGGTTATAGAAAATAAAAAATGAATACCTTAGGTGAAGAGAGGAGCTTCGGAAACTCCGAAGCCTTGAAGAGGAGAGAGAGAGAGAGGTATATTTTTCGTAATGATTTGTGTGTGTATAAAACACAGATTATATCAAGTGAACTGTTCATAGAACGTGTCGAAGCCGGAGGTTTACGCCGCAGGTTCAAATTTTTGTGCATTGGTTTCTGTGTAGAGCCAATTGTAGGTGGCTTATGTGCAATTAACTAATTGGTGACTGACACGTGGCACTTTAGTCATATGGAAAACGAGATTCCATAGCAATGACAAAATGGTAGGTGGTATATTCGAGTTGTATTCATGAATTCCTACAATGATTTTAGGGGGAATTTGAAAAGAAAAATGAAAAATTACCCTTTGATCGGGGTTGTTAACACGGATCATTACGGAGATATATTAAGAAGATGTAGTTGTACGGAATGAACCGTTAGAGTTAACTAATGACTTTGCTAACGATCACCTTGAAGACCAAGACAACTTGATCGAATCGGATCAATGAGTGATCCACGTGGCCTCAATGATAAACGAGATGATAGCCATTTCCATGATTGCGGGTTGATACACTTGTATTGACATTTTTAATTGAATCACGAGTTCCATAAAAATTCACACTTGCCAAAATGAAGGAACCTCTCATATGTACGATCGTGATAATGCAATCATCAAAAGTAGGGCTAAATTCCTGCAATCACATAATTGCATGGTTAGTCGAATAAAGATATGTTAGTATCTTAGATTCCCTCCATGTTTTCATGAAATAAAATGGACAAATGTCACATCCGTCCATAATCGTATCCATACTGATTCCCTTCATGTTTCAAGAAACTAAGTTGACAAGTGTCTCGTTCGTACATAATCGTATCCGTATTGTGCACACGTCAGCCAAAAAAAAAAGGGTTATAAATAGAACCTTAGCTCCAAAAGGAAAGGTTAGATTTATCATTTATGTATTCTCATTTTGGCTTTCATATTTTGGTACACATTTTTATAACTGCTGATTCTCACGTTGGAGTGGAGCTTGAGACGAGTTTCCCTACTCCATTTCCAGTCCGGCTATCCGCAAAAAAATGGTAAGCACCACTTTTCTTTATGGTTTTTTTGTGAACTAGTTGATTTCTTTGAATATTACCCTCTAGTACTAGAATAATGAATTTTGCTACTTTGACAGAAAAATTGTAGCGGATGCAGTGACATAATCCCAGTTGGCAACATATGATTTGGTGGAGATGTTGACTGTGTTTAAAATAGTCCAATGATGAGATATCATATGCATTATATCTAAGGATTATGTCAACAATTATATTGCTGTAGCATGATTGTTACAATAATTGTATATATATTTTCGCATCATAGTGTTAGTAGTAACGGGAGAAGAGAGAGTTTCCAACATTATGTTTGTCTGAAGGCATGTTTGAGGAAGGAGGTAAAGGATGGTCGACCGGTCGACTTCTCTCATGCCGATCGAGAAGCCAAATTATAAGTTCATCATTGATTCAAATAGTTGTTTGGAAGTACCAAAACTATTTGAAAAGAAACATATAATTACCAGGTGGTCTTGAGTGTTCCAAAATGCCACTTCATGCATGCAATGCTAATGATTCTTAGATTCTTTGAAAAATAATTCCAGCATTAGTTCTCCCCTACCCCACCCAAAAAAAAAAAGAAAAAAAAACTATTTATGAAACTCAATGCTTAGTGTCACTATTTAATTGGCTTGTCTATCATTTATTCATAAGTCGATCTCAATTATTTAACACACATTCAATTAAATAATGACGGAAAATACTTTGTTCTTCATATTTAAGGAGTACTAGAATTTTTTTCGTTTACAAGAAAATCTTGTAGCCAAAAGATTTACTTTAGACATCAACAGTTTTTTAGCCCCTTTGTCGGGTGGTTGAGACATTAGTGAAAAATAATGACGAAAAAAGAAATTTTATTTTATTTAATATATTGTTTAGTATATTCTAATATGATAAATTTGTTGGATATTTTCAACATATATGGGGCCACACGTTGTATATTAAAATGTGTTGTGCTATTATTTAAAAGATATTAGTCAATTAAAGTGATCCGATAAAGANGGTAATGGCCTTGGCTACATTGTCTACGCAACAGTATCAGCAGCATTTTGGCTGAAACGTTTTCCTTTCCAATTTTAGACTGACGTCTCAAAATTTGTAGTGAGAAACATAACATTTTTATGAAAAAATTGGACAGCTATCCTCATTAGGAACTGTTTGTGCAAGAAAAAGGTTGAGAACCAACCAGCAAGTGAGAAAATATGTTTGTGGGTGGTGGTGGTTGGGGGGTTGCAATGGTGCAATTTCCCGGTATCAGCTTCAGATATCCTTCAAAAGTGAATTAAAACCACCCAACAGGAATCCTATTCTGGGGGATACTATTTACTGGCAGTAAGACAAAAAACTTTCATTCCGAGCATTATCAAATACAAAAGAAATAGGACTGAAGAATGAATGGATTAATGCTACAAATAAGCTGGCCTAAATCGACTAACCTCTAATCAGCTTCTAGTATCTAAGCCTTTTAGCAACCTCGAAAAAATGAGCAACATTTTCTTCTGGTGTACCAACTACAATGCCGTGTCCAAGATTCAAGATATGTTTCCCTTTTCCAGCTTTTCTCACAGTATCCTTGATTCGTTCAGTGATAAACTCTTTCGAACCAAAAAGAACTCCAGGATCCACATTGCCCTGCACTGCCACATCAGCACCCAACCGCCTTCTCCCTTCAGCCATATCAACAGTCCAATCCAAGCTGACAACATCTACGCCAGTCAAAGGTAGTCTCTCGATCAAGCCCCCAGATCCACTTGCATATAGAATCAATGGGAGATTTGGATGAGTTCGTTTCACAGTTTCGACTATCAGTTTTATGTAAGGCAGACTGAACTCTTCAAAATCCACGGGGCTAAGTTTTGTGGCCCAGGAGTCGAAGAGTTGAACGGCTTGAGCTCCTTTGTCGGCTTGGTACTGAATATATTTTGCCATGGAGGTTGCAAACTTTTGAAGCAATGAATGAAGGACCTACCCGAGCATTAGAGAAATGGCATACTGAATATCGAAATCAAAATATTTATAAAGGGATCCATAAAAGAAACATGGAGTCAGCCTCTGTCCTAAGTACGTTTATACATTTAAAACCACTTTCTCCAAAGGATGACTCGTGGAACATAGACGCTTTGTGTATATACTTTGACTAAATTGGAACCTTGTTGAAATTGTTATCCAAGCTCGACTTAAACTCTAATCATGCTAACAATATATGAAAAGACCATTTACTCATCCTCGGCTCCCAATATAGTTCACATAATAGCGAGATTGGCCCTTGAAGTAAACAAGAAGAGCTTTTAGGTACTATTGATTGGGTAGGTTTATTTCATTCAAATAATCTCAACAAAATAGAATATCCTACAAGAAAAGGGTACGCACAAAAAAAAAAAAAAAAAAGAAAAGAAAAGGAAGAAGAAGAAGGAGGAGGAGTGCCTTTTACCTCATTTAACAGTGAAATGAAGTGAAGTTTTGTATTCTTTTGCTTGCCTCTCTCTTATTTTTATTTCTTGGAGTTAACGTACATATATCGAATCAAGAAGGTCACTCAATAGAACCTTTTTATTTCACTAAATCAGAAATGGCAGCAAATCGCTTCCCTAACTACTATACTATAATTGCTCATGAGTACGGAGAAAAGGTTAGTAGGTGAGCAACATAATGTGTTACCTTTGGTTGTGAAAACGCCAGTCTCTTTATTTTCGAGAAATGCTTCGAGGAACCTCCTTCAACAACATATGATGCCAGAGTGAATGGAGCCCCAACAAAACCTAGCACTGCTGCTTCATTATTCACCTGGCAAGGTTAGAAAGTGTGTCAACATATTGAATGTCATGATGCCAAGGGTCATAACACACTAAACAAATCATGACGTTTATGTTTACTTCTTAAATTCAATCTGAGACCTAAGGTGCTTTGATTAACCTGGAATTCCATGAAATTAGCAAAATAAGAAATAGCAGATACACATATCTAGAAACTGTTAGAAGAAAGTCGGGAGCTAGATGAAAGAACACGCTCAAATACAAAAACCTCGTCCTTAGGCATTTTGTTAGTAAGTAGTTCAAGTTGTATATTTTTGGAAGTGTTGGTGCTGATTGATATGAAATACACAGACAAATTAGTACTTCCACTCGTGTGGACTTGGAGCATGTTTGGCTTTGCTCAAAAGTTACCTTAACTTTCTAAAAAAGCAAGTTTTATTAATAAAAGAGTAACTTTAAAAAATCATGTTTGACAAAATAAGTAACTTAAAAGTAAGTATGAATTGTTAAGTGCAACCAAACATGCTCTGGATGGTACGCGCAAGAGTACTTTTTGTCATATGTTAAAAGAAATGAACCTAAAATATGATAAATTACATAAGGACGGGCAGACCAAGTTAGACCTCTTTTCGCAAGATTGTTAATGCTTCCCCAACATATGGAACTGACTCTTCCGGAGTGAATTCTCTCACTTTCTCGACATCAGCAGCTGTTTGTATAGGATCAAAAATGACAGGATCCTTTCCTTTTACAATGTCAAAGGGTATATTCATACCGGGCAACGGGGTAAGAATATCTGAGAATAAAATGACCTGCAACAAAATTTGTCAAGAGAAAATCAGTGGATAGCACAACAAAAATGCATGTTTCGCTTAAGAAATAAATTCCTAGCAGGTATTTGCAGACGAAATTAGCTTGTGGTGCATATACAAATGCTTCATTTATGGATCTTCATCGTAGATCATTATAAACTGAAAATAAAATATACAGGAGTTGGATGGGGGAGAATGTTTTGCATGTGTGTAAGTTCAATCAATTGTTCGACTGTAAAAGATATTATCTAGAGAAAGGCATCTTACACCATCAGGCCGAAACACTTCCCATGGCTGTAGAGAAATTTCCACCACAAGATCGACATTTTCTGATCTTTCACGAAACGATGGGTGCTTCTCGCAGATGATTTGGTAACTCTAATCAAAAGTAGAGCAGAAGACAGCAAGCTCAACATATCAATATTGCATAATGTTACCAATTATCAGGCCAGAATCGAGAAATAAGAAATTCGAATTTTCTTTCAAAGCCATGCTTCTAAAATGGTTTCCACATCACGTATAACATAGTTAAACAACCTAAGAAAATGAACTTCAAAACCATGGCCTAAACCTGCCTTCATGTATCTCCCTGCTTGTCTCATGAGCCAAACTGGGGGTCTCTCGACTTCTTTTCCTCGAACAGCATTAAGTAACAGAGGCTCGGTATCATCAGAAGCTTTTGGTTCAGCAACTGTCATTGGAAAGTAGAATGAAGAATATAAAATCCGAGCTTGCTTATTAACCAAAACTATTGAATACTATTTAAGTCAAAATATAAATAGTTACTCGAGCAATCTTGTTAAGTACATTAATCACCAAGGGCAAAGGAGAGAAATATATTAAGCCACTGTTTGGTGGGCTTTTTTTTGGAAAAACGTTGTCTTAAATAGCGATTTTTTGAAGAATATGTGGTTAAAAAATTGGGGAAATTTTCTGGAGTCAATTGCAAATATTTTATTACATAAACGTAGGTTGAAAATGAGTATTTTGAAAAAAGAGTTTCGAAAGAATGAGTGACAAAGATGAGCTAAATGATTGCTCTTGGTGGAATAGAATTAGTGTTTATAATTTTCAACAATGGGAAACAACCACAATATCAATTTTTACAACTAAAGTAATCTCTTCATAATTTTCAGTGATCACTTTATTTTAAGCGTAAATTAAGACATTTAACAAATATTCTGTGATCCAAGTCTAAAATTTTATGGTTTTAACAAAGACTCAAATTTTCTTCCATAAACTACATAAATCGGATCAAAATCTATGATAAACTAATAAATAAATACATATCATTATCTACTATAATGAAGAAAAAAAGAGTAGTACAAATTACCTCCAACAGAGCAACAGAATCTGGGGTGGTGATTAGAGGGAGGGGTGAAGGTTAATTTAGCAGAGATTGATGAAAGTGAGCTGCTATAAATGGAAGCCATGTTTGACCACTTCTTACAGAATCAAGATTGTCTGAATCTTGAATTCCTGTTTACATCCCTCTCAGAATTTGACTCCTCTATGTTACAAAAACCCAACCCATAATAAAATTTTGGGGTAAAAAGATTAAGGGACGAAATCTAGTTATCTTTGTTTTGTCGTTCGGGCCACCTCGTCAGTTCAAACATGGGTGCAGAGGCGTTCTCCACTTCTCCTCCTAAGCTTTTTTTCTTTTATCAATTACTGCTGTACGGTCTTGTGAATTGGGCCGGGCTTGGAAGTTGAGAATGAACGGGGAGAATTTATAGAACAGCACACAGAAATCTAGTTATCTTTATTATAGTAATGTTGTACACTTTTTTTCTTAACCCATGTTTGACAACTATTATTTAAACTTTTTTTTTTTCTGTATATTCATTTTCAATCACAAGTAAAATATTTTGTACGTACTCAAAAAAATTTCTTACTTTTTAATCACACATTTTCATAAAAATCACTATTCACAACATTATTTTCACCAAATAATGACTATCAAACCGGAGTTCAGAGTCGATAAGGATATGTAGCAAATTTAGTTGAGTTTTGAATGAATCATCAAAAACTCTCAAACTTCTTTTCATATCAAAAAAAAAAAAACTCTCAAACTTCCCATCTTGGAAGTTGTCTCTAGCATTTCCTTTAGTTTTGAGTACTGGGCCAAAAATCGATTTCGACCTACTAGTCTAAATTAAGAATTGACACTAAAGGAAACTTGGATAAGTGTCCAAAACACTACCTAATAATTTTGTTGCCATAACATATCATGATGATCTAGGTGTTATTACAATGTACACGAGTTGTATTTAATTTAGTTGTCAATCTTTATGTAAATGGTTGGGTAATGTATTTGTTGAGTCATTCTCAATTCTTGTGGGGTTATTTGGCTAAAATCAACAGGATAGCAGTAAGAAGATTCATCAAATTAACACGTGCATATTTGAGGTCTTGACCGGATTCTAAGAAACGATATATAAAGGCAGCTAGGAAGCATCGGGAAGACAATCATAATAAAATATACTGGGTATGAGAATGAAAATGACGAGCTAGGCATAGGCAAATCTTAATAGATAGTACAAAACGCTTTTTACATACGAATCGAATAGCACGACAAGACAGTTACAGTACACCTTGCATTCCAGTTCAAATATTAGTGAGGCTTTTATCCCTCGTGTCAAGCATGAAAATAATGAGGGCTTAAGCCAATCTAAAAGACCAAGGGGAGCTAACCCGGCCACCCAACCCAACAGGTCAGGGCCGGGCTGACCAAAAATTCAAATCCTACCACCTTTCTTGTGGATCATCCTTTACACGTTAGCTTTCAAATAAATGATCAAAACTAAATCCTAAGATTACTTACATCAAGCCAAAATAGAATCTGGCTTGCAATGTCAAAATATTTCACCCATTGCAAGGAAAATGGTCCCATCAATCCAACTCTCAGCAAGTTATGTTCAATCTTCAAACTTTCAAGTTCAAGGGGTTTTCTCAGTTGCCCAAGGGCATATTCGTAACCTGTTCCACACAAAACAGCTTCAAGTTTTAGTTGTAGTATGTGGAAGAGACGAGTCCAAACTTCCTTAATCATATAATAAAAATATAACAGAGAATGTTTGGCTAAGCTTATAAGTCATTTTTTGGATATGTTACTTTTTTCTCAATTTGTAGTACATGGTTTATTTTAAAAGTAACTCTGAACTTAGGCAAACATGCTCTCTAGCATTCGGCACAATATCCTCCACAGGCAACCATAAAAAGAAAAGTTCTATGAACAATATAAGGAATGTGTAAACGAAAATGCAATAGTAGGGAGGAAGAAAAAACATACAAATCTTCTGTTTTGAAGCTTAATGTTTTCGACTAGAAGAAATGAAATCCACTGGATCTTTCAGAATCATAATCCATCTCAAACTTGTCATAGTTCTGTGATCAAGTTGAACATAAATAACTAGTGTAATGTTAGTCCGAGTTCAAATTGGAAGCAGGGAGGAAATCAAACCTTGTTTCTTTTGCCAATATCAGCTGAATCTGCCTCATCATCCACCTGCAAATGATGATCTTATTACAACCATCTTCAAATCCTTGAACTTGAAGGAACTGGTCAACTCTTAAGGCAAACAAGAACTACAAAGTAATGGGGAGAGAAACTAGATGCTAAGGCAGCAAAAAGATTAAACTGAAGGATTCATTGGATAAGCAACTGACTAAAAAGTATAAGATTCCACAAATCAAGAATTTTAAATAACCATTAACTAGTAGAACCATGTTATTGGAAGTTGAGAAAAAGTTGCCGTACTAACTATTACGAGTTGCATAACAAAGGAATAGGCAAGGTGTTACTACGGTACCTTTAATTCCAAATTTCCGATAGAACTCTTAGGATTAATTGAACTCTTTTATTAATGTCATACAGGTATCGCTTTTTTGAATTTGTTGAAGCGGATAATCTAAAAGCTTAAAGCTGTTAAGAGGGTACAATGTATTTATCTAATTCTTTTCACGAGAATCGGCACCGATGATAAACCCTGTGGATAGAAAAAAGCATATACAGTGCACATCACATTTCAATGATATTAAATATAGAAAAAAAATTATTACAATAACATTAAGATTGCTTGTCTGATCCTATGATTTATGCTTGCATCATATGGTGTTTCCAAAATCATATTGTATCCATTGAAGCAGGCTCGTTCTATGAATCCAAACTTCTTAAAAACACGGAAAGAAGTCTAAATTAAATACCCATTTGATCTCTTTTTCCTCCTCGAGCAAAAGTTTCACATAAGCTGAGTTAATCTTTTCCGCCTGAACCACAAATGGTTTCCTCTCCTGCGTAACCAAGAAATATGTCAATTGTAATTAATAGTCACATAAAGTTTGTAATAAAATAACTAAGACAATATAGTAAAATGGGACGAGATTTTTTTCAAAAACCATACCTCTTTCGACATTTTCTTCCATAGCTCAAATCCTTTCCTATCCATTTCAATCTCATTTCCATCTTTACAGGTGTTCATAAGTTTTTCGCTACAAACCCAACAAGGCAAACACAGCATTGATGACAAAATATAAATATATAAACTTCACCATTATCTAAAGGTGGTTCAACGTCAACATGCTATCAAAGCACAAAAAGGTCCAGGAGTTGAGTCTCACTGCACTCGCTTATAAAATTTCACGTGTTAGGCCTTTGATGAAAAAATAAATACGTCTTGAGGAGACATGTCGAAGATCACTCACTGTCTTTCAAGTTAAGTGGTTCAATACATGAATATGTCCATCTCAATAAAATCGAGACAAGAATTTTCCTACATTTCCTCCTGATTTTCATCCTACATGGATTAAAGAATTCCTGACTTGCATGGCAACAATTTCATATTCGAAATATTTTTCTATTGGAGCTTTCCTCATTCCTTTTATCGAACATAATGATGTGAATAGGGCTTTAATGAGTTCTAGTATGCAACAACAAGCAGTTATGCTATCTTGACCCACCAAATGCATTGTTGGAACGGGTTGCAACGACAAGCAGCTCTAGAACTTGAGGGACCAATTTGTACTAATTGAAAATGCAACAACGCATGAATATAAATTTGCACGAGACAAACATTTTCAACATTGGACCCCAACTTTCCATTTTAAGGAATCATAATACCATTTTCAAATGCAAGTAGCTAGTAATAAAACTTAAAACAGGTTTTTGCACCAGAAATTTAATTTAGGGTCTTAAACAAACGGAAAAACATCTGCAAATACACAATCATGTGAATGTATCGATAAAATATATACAGGAGTACAGGACTGCAGGACATATCCTAAAACCCTATAAACACCTTTAAAAAAATTACAATTCTAACAAAGAATTAAGAAGAGAATTTACATGAATAAACGAAAGGCTGATCTGGGTTGGTGCTGAATCTTCAGCCTATTACTATTTCGAATCCCAAATTGGCTCTTCAATTTCTCTGTAAACTGTTTCTTGATTTCACACTTGTGCATGTCTGCCAAAGCAATTGCCACCGAAAGCCCACATTTTTCACTGCAAAATACATACATATACACACAAGCAAATGTGTATATATACATTTAGTTTAAAAGCAAGCAGTATAATTTGAAATAACGAATAGAAAAAAGAGGTTGAAGGAATTGAAATCGTAACCATTTTTGAAAGGCGCTTCCATTTGGACCGCGGGGAATTGAATGAACCCTTTTTCTTGCTCTTGGCTGGCAAACCATACTCTTTCAAGAATATGTTTGGCATGTGCTAACGTACGCTTTCGACCTGAAGTTAATTGTTAAATAGGTTACAGCCCTAAGGCATGTTTGTTTGTCTCAAGTAAGCCATGCTTGTCTTTCATTAAATTAATATTTTTTTTCCCTCAGACTTATTTTCAATCACACTTTACACAACAAAATATTTTGCAAGTTAACTCAAAACTTTTTCCTACATTTTAATTAACACGTTCTTCAAAAAATCACTATTCCATAAACTTCTTTTAATGAAAAACAAATAGTGGCTAAAAATGTATCGATTTGGTCATTTTTTTTGGGTAAATCAAGATTATGATTTTATACTTACGTTAGAGTTTCATTCTTCAAAACTCACTTTTTATTTAAATTTATTTTCAACAACAAATTCTTTCAAATATTTTTGCACATAAATACAATTTTTTTAAACGCACATTTTTTTTTAAAAAAATTATTTTTTATAAAATGTATTCTAAAAAATTGAAACGAATATAGAAAAAGTACTATTTAGCTTGGCTACAATAATTGTAAATAATTTCTTTCAATTAATCATTGCGTAGGAAATTGTTAATAAATTTCTTGATCCATTTTTATTTGCTAATATAAGTCAAAGTCAACAATTCATTTTAACCACATATTTTATGGGTCCCACAATTTTTCAATTATACATTTCATCAACTTTTATTAAAATCGACTAAAAATTTAATTTTAATCCACATGGCTTAATTTCATTAGATTTTATCCTGCATTTCATTACATCAAACTAGCCATCACATAAAAAGGGAAAATTGATGGTGCATTTTAGCGGGAAGTAATCCTGTGGCTAAATTGAACTGGCGGGAGGGAGGGGAGGGCTTTTGGAAAGGGAAAAAGATTTCCCGCTTTTACTCAAAAGTTGATTTGTTGGAAAAACACGTGTCTCGATGTGATTAGGAAATTCTTCCTTGTAAAGAATGGGTTAGTGATGTGAAATGTGAAAAATTAGCCTTTACAGGTGATCAATTAAAATATTCAACATTGGCTGAGAAGGGTAGTTTTGTAATTTCGGAAGAGAAAATTATACCATGTTTGATTAGGGATGACAACGGGGCGGAGCGGGGCGGGGCGGGGCGGGGTAATTCTCTGCCAGTCCCCGTTCGCCAAGTTATCCGTTTAAGGCCGGGCGAGGCCCACCACTTTCACTATCTGTTTAATTTTATTTTTTTAAAAAAAAATTGATAATTTATTTTATTATCTGCATTTATTAGACTGAAACAATAATATATATTTTTTAATCTTTGCTTATTTTTTAAATTTAAATTATTCTAATATATTTGGTAAACTAAGTCTCTATTTGGTATGCATTTTTCTTAGAGAACGCATTTTTTTTATTGATATGATGAGGAATATGTGGTTGAAAAAGAATGAAAAGTTATTAATATGATGAAAAATATTATTTTATTGAAAAATGTGTGGTGAAAAATGAGTAGAAGAATGATAATGAAAATAATGATGTCGCTCAAACAAGGGCTAAGGCTTTTATTGTGTCACATTTTTAAGATAATTTTAGTTGCCAATTTCTAGAACTAATGAAATTTCGTGAAATTTTTTATTTAAAGTATTGATCTCAAAAAAAAAAAAAAATTAAACGAGGCGGGGCACCCGACCTCGCCTCACGGGTATCAGGTTTGTCGAATTTTTTTGTCATCTCTATGTTTGATAACCTTTCTTCTAAAATATAATTCTTTCTCTTATTTTTTTTAACTACATATTTTTTAATAAAATAATATTATACGCAAACTCAAAACTTTCATTTATTTTTTAAACACATATTTTCCATCAAAACACTATTTCAAATACATTATTGGGAGAAATAGTTATATTTTTTTTGAATTAAAAAAAGTTTGAAATGCGTGGTTAAAAAGTAAATAAAAATTTTAAGGTGTTAGCCATGTTTGATGCCCATTAAAAAAAGTTTTTTCGAAAAACAAATGAGTTTTGAAATAGTTTTTTTTTTTTTTTTGAAATACGTGGTTAAAAAGTAGATAAAAATTTGAATTTACATACAAAATATTTTATCGTGAAAATATATGTTTAAAATGATTTTTTTAAAAAAAAATAATAATTGTTGAAAAATGGTAGACAAACAATGACTTAATTTTATGGGTAAAACATGTTCACATCACACTTTGCAACAAATGCACAATATTTTAATTTTAATGAAAATTTTCAATCTTTATTTACTTTTATACTTTAGGGTTGTTTGTTTCTGATTCTCAAAATCAATTCTTAAATCAATTCTCATTTTCAACCACACATTTTTAAATAAAATAATATTTTTCATCACATCAATAATTTTTCTTTTTTTTTCACCACACATTTTTCATTATATCACTATTTAAAATGAATTCTTCCTCCAAAAATCCCTATCAAACAAGCATTTATGTTGTCAACATTTTTCTGGCATTATTGTCCTTGAGTTTTTATACTTTTATGTTGCTCATGATGAATGTCATTTCTGTAAGCATAAGAGGCAATGAAAGGGATAATGTCCTCGATTGTTGAATAGAACCAAACAACAGCTTCCCTATAATACTACAATTGCTGCACCATCAATAGATCCATTTATGTTTGAGCAGCTTTAGAAGTTCCTTGCAACATAGTCATATCCAACATAACCACACGTAATGTCTGCCTCTCACATGGGTTTCCCATCCTCTAGTTCTTCAGGTATACAATCTTCTTTGTGGATCATAAATTCTAGCGCTTCCCATTACGTGTCACCTAATTTGTAATCTTTTGTTTCATTATCTCTCAAGTATTTTGTTTCGGTTATGATTATTGATAGTACTCGTATGCCTATAGCAGGTGTTAGTTTCTTTGGTAAACATCGTTTGTTTCTCCATGATATCTACCATATTTTTAATCTTATTTTGAATCTTATTTATGTTAGTCAATTATGGAATATCAGCATTTAGTTATTTTTTATTTTATTCTTCGATTTCGTTATGCACATGACCCGCAATCCTAAAAGTTGATTGGGACTCGTCATAGGCAAGGGATACTCTATGTTTTGGATCGACTTAAAGTACCAAAAATTGTAGCTTCCAGTTTTACATTGTCATCTTTTCGTTTGAGCCATTCTTCCTATGTTTTTTATTTACGGCATTCTCACCTTGATCATATTTTAGCATCTCGTTTATAATTATTGATCTCCACAAGAGCATTAGGACATTTGAAAAGTCATAATATTTCTAATTTTAGTAGGTACAAATTGGCACAATTTTCTACGTTATCTTTTACTTTTAAGTATTTCCATTTTTTATCATCCCATTTGATATTGTTCATTTTGATGTATGGGTATCATTTTCCATACCCACTGAAGGGTTCATAATATTATATTTTCTTTATTGATGATTACACTCAACACCGATAAATTTTTCTTATAAAACATCGCTCTAATTTCTTTAGTATTTTCCGTGTATTTCAAGCATTTGTGAAAACTCAACATTTGGCTATTATCATATGTTTTCTATGTGATATTGGGACAGAGTATACTTCTAATACTTTTTCTAATTTGCTTATTGTTGATGGAACTATTCACTAAGCTGTTTGTACAGACAATTGTTGGGAATTTGCTTAATCATGCACGGCGAAAATAAAATAATTTTCAATTCCCACCACGGATCTGCTTTGTATTTAGATAGAAACTGTGTTGAGAATAATACCTTTGATAAATTTTGCAAACTCTTTTGCTGATTCTCGAACTCCAATTATCATGATCTGCAATTCAAATTGTCCAATTGTCCAGCCTCCAATTGTGATCTACATAGAGAACAAGAATGACGGCTAGGGTTTTACTTTTTTTGTGCTAGCAAGAATAATAAAAATCACTATGGTTTACAAACCCTAGCAACTTATTAATATAAGTCCAAGTGGGCTGGCCCATCTCTAAACTTAAACCGGTTCGATATTTAATTAATCAAATTAATTAAATACGGTCCATGAATTAATTAATCCAATTAATTAATTCGGGCCGATTAATAAGCGCTCGAATTAATTATTTATTCAACATTTGTCAATTAATTAATTGGTAAATCTCATTATTCTGGTTCTCTTTTTAAAATTTATTTTTTTTATTTTAGTATTCAATACTTTAAATGAAATTTTTTATGAGTTCTAAAAGCAAGTAGCAACTAAAATTATTTGTCCAAATCTAATGAATATGGGTAATAAAAATAAATTATCAAAAACTTGATTAAGGATGACAACGGGACGGGGGCGAGGTTGGGACAACCTCCCCCACCAAGCAATTCTTGGTCAGTCCCCGTCCGCCAAGTTATCCGTTTAAGGCAGGGCGGGGCTCGCCACTTTTACTACCCGTTTAATTTTTTTTTTTTTTTTATAATTTATTTTATTGTCTGCATTCATTAGACTGAAACAATAATATATTTTTTAATCTTTGCTTATTTTTTAAATTTAAATTATTAAAATATATTTGGTAAACTAACTCTCTATTTGGTATGCATTTTTTTTTAGAGCACATTTTTTTGATTGATGTGATGAGGAATATGTGGTTGAAAAAGCATGAAAAGTTGTTGATGTGATGAAAAATATTATTTTATTGAAAAATGTGTGGTGAAAAATGAGTAGAAGAATGATAATGAAAATAATAATGTGGCTCAAACAAGGGCTAAGGCTTTTATTGTGTCATATTTTTAAGATAATTTTAGTTGCCATTTTCTAAAACTAATTACATTTCGTGAAATTTTTCATTTAAAGTATCGAGTTCAAAAAAACAAAATTAAACGAGGCGGGGCACCCGACCTCACCTCGCGGGTATCGGGTTTATCAGATTTTTTTGTCATCTCTATTTTTGATAACCTTTCTTCTAAAATATATTTCTCTCTTATTTTTTAACTACATATTTTTCAATAAAATAATATTATACGCAAACTCAAAACTTTCATTTATTTTTTAAACACATATTTTCCATCAAAGCACTATTCAAAATACATTCTTGGGAGAATAATATGCTTCAAACAAGGTGTTAGCCATGTTTGATGCCCATTAAAAAAAGTTTTTTCGAAAAACAAATCAGTTTTGAAATAATTATATTTTTTTTGAAATGCGTGGTTAAAAAGTAGAGAAAAATTTGAATTTACATACAAAATATTTTATAGTGAAAATATATGTTTAAAGTGAGGTTTTTGTTTTAAAAAAAATAATTGTTGAAAAATTGTAGACAAACGGTGACTTAATTTTATGGGTAAAACGTGCTCACATCACACTTTGCAACAAATGCACCACATTTTAATTTTAATGAAAATTTTCAATCTTTATTTACTTTTATACTTTATGTTGTCAACATTTTTCTCGCATTATTGACCTTGAGTTTTTATACTTTTATGTTGCTCATGATGAATGTCATTTCTGTAAGCATAAGAGGCAATGAAAGGGATGATGTCCTCAGTTGTTGAATAGAACCAAACAACAGCATCCCTATAATACTACAATAGCTGCACCATCAATAGATCCATTTATGTTTGAGCAGCTTTAGAAGTCCCTTGCAACATAGTCATATACACGTAATGTCTGCCTCTCACTTGGGTTCTTCAGGTATACAATCTTCTTTTGAATCTTATTTATGTTAGTCAATTATGGAATATCAGTATTTAGTTCTTTTTTTTTATTCTTCCATTTCGTTATGCACATGACCCGCAATCCTAAAAGTTGATTGGGACTCGTCATAGGCAAGGGATACTCTATGTTTTGGATCGACTTAAAGTACCAAAAATTGTAGCTTCCAGTTTTACATTGTTATCTTTTCGTTTGAGCCATTCTTCCTATGTTTTTTATTTACGGCATTCTCGCCTTGATCATATTTTATCATCTTGTTTATAATTATTGATCCCCATAAGAGCATTAGGAAATTTGAAAACTCATAATATTTCTAATTTTAGTAGCTACAAATTGGCACAATTTTCTACGTTATCTTTTACTATAAGTATTTCCAATTTTTGTTATCCCATTTGATATTGTTCATTTTGATGTATGGGTATCATTTTCCATACCCACTAAAGGGGTTCATGGTATTATGTTTTCTTTAATGATGATTACACTCAACACCGATAAATTTTTCTTATAAAACATCGCTATAATTTCTTTAGTATTTTCCGTGTATTTCAAGCATTTGTGAAAACTCAACATTTGGCTATTATCATATGTTTTCTATGTGATATTGGGAAAGAGTATACTCCTAATGCTTTTTCTAATTTGCTTATTGTTGATGGAACTATTCACTAAGCTGCTTGTACAGACAATCTCAAATAGAGTGGTGTCGTCGAAAGAAAATATAGAAATCTTGTTAAAACAGTTCGTTCTCTTTTTCTTTGCTTATATTCCTAGTTTTTATTGCTACTCATTTGATTAATAAGATCACAATCTCACATAATTCAAGTTTGTCTCCTTTTCAGGTTTATGTGGATATGTTCCTGGAAAGAATGCCTTTGGTTCTACCTCTTTTATCCTTCAACCTCATGCTAGCGTAGTAAATTATCCTCTAGATTTGTAATTTGTGTTTTTATGGTTATGGTGCGGGCAAAAATGACATCATTATTTTGACTCAATTAGTCAAAAAATATGCGGTCTCTCATCATGTTGTGTTTCTTGAACATATATATATATATATATTTCTATTTTTACTAGTTCTATAATATGACTAAGTTTGATTTTATTGACATTGATCCATTCGCTCTTGGTACTGATATTATCCTACCCTTGTTCCATACTTATGTGCTCTCACTTCGAATAATGAATCTTGCAAGGTTCTCATTGATAGTTCTACAGACACTAATACTTTGATTCCCAATACATAAGTTGTTCTCTCTTCTCCTATGGTTACCCAATCACTTCCTGAGATTGCGGATCCTCAATCTCGTTACACTACGCGTACTCGTAAGTCCACTAGATTATTTAGATTTTACTTACTCTTGTTAGTATAGCTCTTTCGTTTCCTTTTTAGCTTCTATACATCATTTTCCTAAGCCTTTGTCCTATTGAGAGTATGACTGTCAATGGATTGAATTTTGATCCGAATCAAATGAAATTAATGGGAAATGAATTTAGTGTTTTAGCTCAATAACATGATCAAGATCTGAATCCAATAATCCGTTAACTAAATACATCAAATGTTGATATATGTCAATCCGATCTGATAACAAATCCATCTGATTGTTATAATAATATAATATATTTTATATATTATCGCATTATTTATTACATATAATTGTTGTTCATTCTGAAACTTGTATTAAGTATTACACGTAATTTTCAAATAATAAATAATATTAGATAATAGTATAATATTGTTAATTGAAATATTTGGAGAATTTTAAATTTTTTATTAATTAAAATAAGTTAAAAAATAGTTAATTTATTTTGTAAATCAAACAACCAAAGGGCCAATATTTGGAGTTATCATTATTCCCCACTTCCCACATCGGATATTCGCTAGAATGTAACAGGATTTGCAATTTATAAATAAGAGAGCCAAGAATTGGGTAAAAAGTTATTTGGGCCTTTTAATTTTAGGGCTTAGAAGTTGACTAAGATAAAAAGTTTATCTGCCTAATTTTTTCAACTTATCGGATTGGATATCCGATAACATAGGATATAAAATATAAATTTAACAATCAAATATCTATTGGATTGTCAGATCAGATAGAATAATCATTTTTATCAGATTTGATATGGGCAGATCTAGTCCATATTCGATCCATTTACATCCCTTATAGAGAGGGGCTATGACAAAAAAATTTACTACTCTGCATCAGCTACAAACTCGGAACTTGATATTTCTACCATCGGGAAATGAGCAATTGATTCTGGTTGGGTCTATAAAATAAGAGCTAAGTCAGATGGATCTGTTAAAAGATATTTAGCCCAATTACTTGCTAACGGGCACTCTCAAGAGTACAGTATGAATTATAATGAGACTTTTACACTTGTTGCAAAAATGATTACAATTCATATCTTTATTGTAGTGCCTTTGTTTGTCTCGATGAAACACATTTCACATGGATGTTAAAAATACCTTCTAGAATGGCTATCTACATGACGAAGTCTGCATGGTTCCCTCTTTTAGTGTTTTTCATCAACCTTGTAAAGTTTGTCAGATTCGAAAAACTCTCTATTGTCTGAAACAGACACTTTGAGCTAGGTTTGAGATTTTTTTTTATCATGATTACATCGCTTGGTCTCCTTCCTCGCCTACTACATTTTACGGGTTGCTGTTCTTCACATTATGAGGTACTTTCGGAGTCTTTTACTTTCTCTACTTAATCCCTAAAGTTATGAGCATATTCTGATGCTGATTGGACTTGTGATCTTACATGTCGTCAGTCTATCACTGGCTTTTGTATCTTTCATGACAATTCTCTTATTTCTTGGAAGAACAAAGAGACGGATATTATTTTTAGATTTTCCTCATAATCAAAGTATCGAGCCATGACTTCTACTGCTTTTGAGATAGTCTAGTTACATTTGTTGTTTGTAGATATGGGTATATATTTTTGCCGACCTACAGACCTACTCTATTGTATTGTGACAATAAGAGTGTTATTCAGATTGTGCAAAAGTCAATATTCCATGAGAGGACCAAAATATATTGAGATTGATTGTCGTGTCACTCAACATCATCATCAATTTGGCACTCTCATATTTCCATTTGTTCTTTCCTCCATGCAGATTGCTGACTCGTTTACAAAATCACATCCACTACTCAACTTCATTAGTTGTTTGGTAAACTCCCGTTGCTTCTTGCAAGAGTATTATGAGTCCAGGGGGATGTGTAAAAAATATTAATTGCTTATCTTTAAGGGTAGATTACTCTTTTTACCTACTAGCAAGACTATGTAAAGCTTATTTTTCTTGTATTTTCATTATGCAATTAATCGAGAAAACCCTAACCTATTTTCTTTTCTCTATATTTTATTTATTGATTTTGACAGAAATGACCCAAGAAAATGGACTGGCAATAAGATTCTTTTCTTTTCTCTATATTTTATTTATTGATTTTGACAGAAATGGCCCAAGAAAATGGAGTGGCAATAAGATTCACATAGACGACCTAAATTTATCCGAAACAAACTTTAGTTTTTCGTTATCTTGAAAGAAATGAAGTGGCGACAGGCCATTAAAGAGAATATTATACAAACAATCATCATGCCATACAACTGTATGAAATCATAAGCAAATCTAAAACACAACCAACGATAGAAAATGCAACAGGAAATTTTCGTTACGACTTTAAATTAACTCTTATTGTCATCTCATATTCATAGGCTGTGGTTTCTTCTTGCCATGTTTTGGCAGTGGTACTTGGATGAATCCAAATTTCTTCTTCTGCATAAAGAATTGCTTCTCAACATTACCCCCATCTGCTGCTGGTTTTGTAGGATGCAAAATAAGTCGACTCTGTTTGCGCAGCATTTGGCTCAAAGAAATATGTTGCCTTTCAGTTTGGTTTTCCACATGATTTCCCACCATGAAATCATCTTGTAGAATCAATCTCCTATTCATTATGTCTCCTATTGAAGTTGTAGATCTAAAACCAGGAACCGACTCATTTGCATTGAGATCTGGTGGATTACGACGGCCAAGAGAGGAGCGAGAATTTCTAAATTTGAACTTAGCCGAGGGATTCTGCTCTCCACCATGCTCCAATCGCGTTTGAGAAAACCTATCCCCATGGACTTCTATTCTACGAGTTTCTTCTTTGCTGCAAAAATCATCTTCGGTTTTTTTGTTTTCTTTGGTAAATTCCTCAAAGTTCTCCAGAATAACTGCTTCGGCATGTCGTGCTTCATTGGTTTGACGCATGGCATTGGTATCTATAAATTTTGTTTTCCACAGCTCGTCACCTTGTTGGGCTTTTCGAGTAAGAGATTGGTACTCTTCAAACGATAGAGTTATTCCATTAGGCTTGTGCAGTAAAACATCTGATGAATTCTCACCATTCAATAGAGCCGTTTTTTCAGCAAGAGAAATAGCTTCCACTGCTTTAGCCGCTTCTTCCATCTTTTTCGCTGCATTCAACCTCATTTCAGCCATTTTAATACTGTTCTTTGTTCGCTCAATCTCCGTCATTGCCTTCATGACCTCGTATCTTGAAGCTTCTGTCATCTTCTTAAACTGCTCATCCTCAAAATTAAATAAATTTAGTTCCTTGGAGATATTCGTAGAACCCTGCAAGTCACCTTTAGTTTCTGCCTTCTTGACTAGATCAGACAAGACTCCTTCGGAATTTGGTACTTGTGGCTTCGTTCTCATTTCAAGCAAAATTCCTTCTTTTCTCAATTTTCTGTTCAGAGACTCAACGGAGGCTCGAATTACGTTAAGATCTACTGAAGTCTTACTAAGGCTTGATTTAGCTTGATTCAACTCAGTGAAAATCAAACCAGGGGATGGAACTGGGCACAAGCTCAACGTTTCAGCTGATTCCTCATTTGGAACAGTGATTTCCCTTTCCAAATTTATGTCAGGAGTTGAGCAGAATGAAGGCACTTCTTGCATCAGATTCACTTTTAAGTATTCAACATATCTTTTAGCTGCTTCCAGTTCCTTTAAAACGCCAAGTGTTTCCTGCTCTTTCATAATTAAATCCCTTTCCAATTGTACTGCATGATCCTCCATTTTCTCCACGTTAAAGACTTCATTATCAGGCTGCAATCAATGAATATCAAGCAATTTCAAAATGAATGATATAGACCAATTGCAAATCATCAAAAGCCTGAATTGTGGAGCAATATCACAAATTGATGGATCTTACACTTCGTAGTCTCTGCATTGTAACAAAAATGGCTAATGGCAATGGAGAAAACCCTCTCGTTTTTACCTCGAATAACAAGACTTTCATATACTTTTTAGAGGAGGTGAGGCATTTCACTCCCCCCTCAAGCCAATCCAACGAAAAAAGAAAAATGTAAAATGACGAGAAAGAGAATAAAATTAAAAGATGCAAAAGAGGAAAATGGCTGACAAAGAACAAACTTAAGGATTCGGTGAGTGCTGAGGAACTGTTTGCTATAGCTACAGGTGCAACTGAAGATGCTACAAGAATCGAGTCTATATGATACCTTTCCGTTCATCGGGTACTTTACTTTAAAATCTATAAATAAAACAGAACTTTCATTTAATAAAGTGAAATTGTCGAGGAGAAAGAAAAATCCAAGAATGGCAGAATCTTATTTTTACTACTGTAACTACCAGAGCCCACCACCTGACGGGGTTCTCTACGACAGCTTAAGTTTTTAGATTTACTTCAACACACACCTTTGATCAATAGCTGCCCGACTGCCATGATTAAACTGTTGCAAGACAATGCCTACTGTAAGAAACTAGAAATTGAATATATTTGAGCCCACCAAAGTTAGGAAATCTCATCAGTTGTCATGTTTTGTAAGTACGCTGATAGTTACAAAGCAACATTAGGATATTCTTGCTAAAATTTAGAACACAACCATCCATCAAATGCCAAAACAAATTAACAGCAAACACAAGTTTTTTTTGTTTTAGTTAGAAATGATAATGTGTTTTATGCCCAACCAAAAACAGAGTCATAGAAAACTCGCAATACGTTTAGCATCCAAACTAAAGTGCAAATAATAGAATGTTGTGTGTGTGTGTG